CGATTTTCCTTGCGTGCGAGAGGCATTCCAAAGGACATCCCACCGGGAGAAGCGAGGTCTGGTGAAGTTTCCTGCACACTCCGTGTGGAATGGGGACTGCTGGTGCCCCTGGAAGGGCCCGGTGGGGATGCGAGTCCTGGCAGGGCTGGGGCCGCTGGCTGCACTGGGCCGGCTGCTGTCCCTGGGGTTGTGGGCAGAGCTGAGGCCGGTGTACCCCAACACTTGGTTTCAGCTTCACAGCCCCTTGCTCCGACGGACGCCCTGGCAGAGTTAGATTTGCGGCTTGTTGGAAGCGGAGACATCTGAAGAAGTGAGGGATCTGTCTTGCTTTGGCAAGATGCTCATTCCCAAATCCCTTTTTCTGCATGCATCTGACGCTGCTTGAAGCGAGCTGCTGCTCAGGCATTTCTTATCGCTTACTTTAAAAATAAGGATATGATTTGACAGAGCTGTTCAGGAAGGGTGTGTCAGGAGAGTGACAGGGCGTTGACCACCATATAATAAACTTTATTTCATGAGAACTTCAAGGTATGGAACGGAGTTTCTATTTTTAGTTCTCACCTGTTTATATCATCATGCACTGCAGGGACCCCGGCCACCACTGAGACCTCTGGTCTGGTGGTATCTGTCGTTGACCCTGTCAAGGAGAAATGCTACAGGGAAGCAGAGGAAAGTTGTTCCTGGGTGGGATATGGTTCTTGGATGTTTTGCATGAGTTGCATCTCTCTTGAGTTTTCTAGGCTCTCTCTCATTGTGTCATCATAAAGCAAGCTGTATTAAACATGAGGCATAATTGTCTTGTTGAAACATTCATTCTACCAGATAAAAACACAAAGTCCAGACTTTTGTCTGATGAATTCCAGATGTAGAAATAGCCCTCCCAGCTGGAGGTGGGGCATTCTTCACTGGCATCTGAACCACTTGCAGGGTGCAAGGCAAGTCTGAAAAGAGATAATTACAAAATCCCAAGTTCTTTTCTAGGGATATAGTAATATTATAGATAGATAGATAATGTTAGGCTTTGGCTTAGAGCCAAGGGTGATACTTTGCAACCTTGGAAGTTTTGTGGTCATCAGCCTAAATTGGCCGTTCTCTGCCCTGTTATCTCTGGAAGCCAAGGAAGCTGAGTTGCTGTGAAGATTGTCTTTCTGTGTGATAAAATTCAGTTAAGAACTGTGACTAAAATGAAATTACAACAGCTAGAATTAGGTATTCGTTTAAAAACATCCTCATAGACTTACAGCTGGACAGACAGCTGGGGCCTCCTGGTGCCGTTTGGTTTTTGTTGAAAGTGACGATTCCGTCACTAGCCTTCTGTCCGTGATGGCATTTGACAGCATGGAAAAACACTTGAATGGGATAGTTCCTGTAGTATGCTTTTTATTTTATGTGGCTTTGCACATTTTATATTTGTAGCTTTTCTCATAATGATTCATACAGATTTCATCTGTGCAAGTTATGTTTTTCACTGAACAGAAACAGAACCAGTGAGGTGTTACTGAATTAAAATTGTTATTAAGAAAGATTAACAAGAAAATTGGAAGAAATGCGGTTACATTTGTGTTTGCAGATTTGAAAATATTCAAACCCTCTAGGTATAAACTAGCATAATCTGCTATGCCTGATTTTAATTTTGTATTGCTATGTGTCACTCAAGAAAATTAGTGCTTACTTTAGAAAAAAACCCCAATGAACAGCTATTATCTTATGAGGTCATCGCAAATGTGCCAAGTAAAATCTTGTTCTCCTGAACAGCATTTTTCAGCTGGTGAGAGAAGGCTAGAGGTGACTGGTGGCATTGAGGGGCTGGGCTGTTACGAGTGAAAGAGGCAGGCAGCAGTGCAAGACTCAGTCTTGAGGGAAGAGAGCAACGATGCCTCAAGACAGGAGCGGGAGGAGAGATGAACAGTGCTGCAGGGTTTGAGTAGCAGTAATGGGGACTAGCTGAGGAGGCAGTAGCAAAGGATTCCCAAGAATACAGGAGTACACTTTGTAAGACAGACTTTAAGAAGGTGAGATGTGAGTTTTGAGGAAGCAGCCAATAGCTGGAAAAGGTCAGACCAAGGAGAAAAAGATAGATGACAGCAGAAACACTTACCTGAAGGAAGGCTGGCAATTCTGGTGCTGTCCTAGGTTTATAAAGAATGCTGCAATTGGATTTGTTTGCATGACCCTTCTGGACTGACCATTGCAGCAGGACCAATTTGTAATATGCAGGTGATACAGTTAGCTCTTACAGCTTGTGTCCACACACAGCATAGTTCTGAGCTGACCAGTGTGGATTAAAATGGACAGAAATAGCTTGTAGTGGTTTTGTTTAGTCTTGCCTTTCCACCTGCAGGCATGTGCCTGCTTAACTTTACATTTCATTCTCTTTTTTTTCTTAGACCTCATCTAAGGACACAGATACTGTAACCTGTTTGACTGGTTGTGCTTCCTGGTAATTCAGCACCAATAGACTGTCCCAAAGTATGCTGCTGTGCAACCCTGTGACCATGTCCTCTGGTCCTTCTGTCTTCTGCAGAGCTTCTATGGCAGAGCTACTCAGGTTTTATAGAGAGTGTTATTAAGAATATAGCTAGGCAAAATAGCATGTGCAGAACTGCATTTATGGCCACACAAAACCTGTGCTGTGAATTCACATGCCGTAAGCAAGGTCTAGTGAGATTAAGCACATTGGTCACAAAGGTGTTGCTTTGGTTATAGTTTAGACAGGACCTTAATGAGGCGATGGGTATTCTGGGAGTAGTTACACGAATGAGTATTTGGTGTCATAAAATACCAGTCTTTCACTGAAATGTCAGAAAACAAATTGTGTGTTTGCTGTTTCCATTGTTTCAGTTTGCCTCTTGCTGCTTGAGATATTTAAGTAAAATGCAACTGTGAGAGGAGAAGAACTTATCAATGAAATACGTGGTCGGAACTAGTCTTCCGTGCTTGTATGTGCTGTGCTTGGAAAGGCAGGGAAAATCCTTGACTCTTCAAGCCTTGGATTTCCTGCAGCAATTATTGCCAGCCTGAGTCTGTAGAAGGTCCCGGCTGCTGGTCCTGCTTTTTAAAAGATGTAGCTTGTTGTCTGCACCGTTGTTAGCTAGCTCACAGGCTTAGGAGTTTGGGGGAAGCGGAGACAGCTTGTTTGTATGCTCTGGGGACATTTTTCTTATTTGGTGTTTGTAAAAGGAATAATGTTAAAGTGTTTGAAGTAATGGATGTCAATGGCAAGGACCTTGTCTCTAAGAGAGTTTCATGGTGGACCAATTAAAAAAGTACAAACTTGAAGAAATTTATTTTGGTAGGAACTGCAGGACAGGGAAGGAAACCTGCACTGTAGCTAGGCTCAGCATGCAGCAAAGAAGATGCTTGCTTTTCAAAATTTAAAGGTCTGTGCTGTGACGTCACTAAATATACAGTAGTAGAATAAATGGCAGAAATCATTTATACCTACTGGTGTTTTAGCACACTGAGCTTTTGGCGTAGCTTGCTTGCTGCTCAGCTGCAACAGGAATCAAAAGGAAAACTTGCTAGTTAATAAAGATCTGAAATTATCTGTGCTGCATATATTTTTCAGCAGCTGGAGCAAAAATTATCTTGCAGTGCATATATTTGTGAGACGAGTAACACCACTCTGTTAAGAAGCGTATTTACGTTTGGGGATGACAGGTAGGAAAATGACCGGCACACGCTTCCCGATTCATGTTACACAGCTTTTTAGCTGTATGGAAGCAAAGGTAAGGAGGAGCTGTGATACTTGCGATACTTTTCTCTGTACCTACCAAGGAGACTAATATTTACCTTTTTTCAGAGTTGTGCTTCTAATTTTCTGCTCTTTCAAAGGTGTCTTTATTGCCACAGATAGGCAAGATAGATTGACATACAAGGGCTTGGATACACACCTTAGTTTACTGAGTTACTGTTGTCTTACCCGAGTCATGACCACTGAGCGTAATGTACTTGAGCTATTTATTGTAAACGGGGATGAAATATTTTTTCACTAAAGGTTTAAACTAACCTGTTTACATCTCAGTTGACTAAGAACATTTCCATGTCAGCCCATGCTCAGTATTTCATTAAGCTGAGGTTTGTTAGTCATGAGATCAAGTTCACTTGGGAAATAAAATTAAGCAAAAAAAGAGTTCTCTGCTTAATTTGAAGAGATAGAAAAAGGGGTCTTATTCACAAGTTGGCATTCATTGGTTTTAAATCAAATAGACTGAGATGGTGGCTTTTTGTGGTTTATATGGTATGTCTTGGTATCTTAGTTTATCTAGTGAAAACTGGAGCTTCAATCTTTTTTTTCTTAAAACAGAACTAAAATCCTCTGTAAAACTATTTGCTGTTAGGGAGTGAGGTTTTATCCTGTCTCTGTAAATAAATATTTACTGTAGTAGGGATTTACAGTTTAGGTCTCCTGCATTATAATTTGGCAGCAGTTCACTCTGGATATA